AGTGTGTGTAGAGATGTAATTGCACAATTCCATCCAACCGATTTGCACATGCATGGCGTTAACACAATAGCAACCTGATCTCTAATATCTAGAATGCGTCTAAATGATTGAGGATCTATTCTACCTCAACCTATTTCCATCTTTAACTGGCTTACTCGTAACACAGGTTAACTGTGTTGGCTATCGCCTGTGCGTTTGGTTCACTTCTGTTCCCTCGCTTCCAACACACTCAGCTACCAGAGCACTTTCTCCAAAGCTGCTCAGTGATCCATCAGTTTGTTATTCTGCGTGCCAAGTATTTTATGCTCAGTATTTTGTCATATTAAACTCGCCAAATGTTCCTACCATACTGTTGCGCCACAGTCGTAAAGAGCTCTAAAAAAGGAACAGTTACATCGAAACTGGATATATTATGGAAAATGTTGCCCATATTGGGCTGTTCAGCGATGTTAGGACAGCGAAAAGAGTGCACGGCTGGCTTGCAGCAAGCTGTTAAACATCGAGACTTTGAACATATGTCATTTTCAACAGTTCTGTCGGCGAACAGTGGATCCATCGTCAATAAGAACGATGAACTAGAGTCACAGTTGCTCATTTCCTAGTTTCTCAATTTTTGTGCAGTTTTCTCGCAGAAGACATAAAGAAATTAGCAATGCAAGTGAGGATGTTGATGGACACTTGCTACTTCTTATCGACAGATTAAGCACAACGAAATTTTGTCTTGGCGGTGGTGAAGCGTGGATCAGTCAGAAATGGTACGACGATCGATCATTAGCACTAGTTGTTAGTTTTTGTTGTGATTCGCTTGAATGCCTTGTCTTGCTATCCCAGGATGTGAATGCCAATTTGCAGTTCATTTGTTATTTACATCATTCATGTCACCATTTATTGCACCATTGTCAAATATGAATGATTTATCGAATGATTTACGCTATTACTCTGCAAAGTAACCTTTCCCGAGGACCTCAATCATCGTGATACATATTTTGCTGGTGACAGAGGACAAACTAGCACTGTTACGTTCAGCAAACGTTCTGTTGTGCAGCTGAAGGTGTTCCTCACGAACGCCTCTGAAGCGTTTCACGTCTACGGTTTTGCGCCACTAGGGTTCTCTGACAACTGCACTATTTGAGTTCTTCCAACGGTCCATGCAAAATAGTTGTTCCAGAGCATCTACTTATAAACATAACGCACACTGAGTAGAAGAATAATCGACGAAGAGAGTCTTGAACACCCCAGAAGCATCATGGAGGGCATGCAATGAGGTCATCTACATAGTGGCGTCAGTACGATCCAAATTGGTGCTGCTGTTCGATATCTTACTTTCACTTATGAGATCGGCTGCGAGGCTCAAAACTTTTTCTCAAAATTATAGTTCGCGGTCTCACAGAAGAAAAGATCGCGCGTTCAAAGCAAATGACATTTTTACGGTTAAAAGGATCTTTTTTCAACTTTATCTTCCATAAACGCTTTACCATTCGGGTTACAAATACAGACGCGGCAGATATTGCTCCCAAAATTCCCGACCCTGTAGTTGAATCTGATCTTCGACAGGAGAGAAATGGAGTCAAGAACAGAATCCTTCCTATGTTTGCACCAAGTAAATATTAGCTTCAAAATAATCCAAAAGACCTGTGGAACGGGTTGAATTATGAAAAGTAGAAAATGCAGTAGCTCTAATGAATTAATCTATAATTTTTCATTGTTTGATAATGCAGCTTAAGTGCTAGGCTAATTTAAATTACCCACTCTTTCATCGGATACGGTCTGTCCAGCTGTCTCCTCATCCGACCTGCTGACATGTTTCAGGTGCATTTGAGCTCACTTAGCTTCAGTATCAAATAACGCATCAACGATTGCGTTCAAGACTTCTGCTGCCTCTCTTGCTCCATTCTTCATAAACTTATTGAATCGAAATCTACAGAGCGCCCGCATACCTGACTCGTGTAGGATTGCCCGAATCAACTCCGTTCCAAAGAAATCTCCTATCTAATGATCCATAACTTTCCGTTTGTCGCAGCCACTTCTACTATATTAAAATGCTTTGAATCGTTGATAAAACCGAATGCAATATAAGCAGACTGTTTTGATCGACACCATTTCGACTACAAGCGCAGTCGAACCACAATAGACGAGTTATTATGCCTAGTGGATTACACTGCGCATAGTTTGGATCAAGAAGGGTGCTCCGTGAAGACAACCTGGCTTGAATTTCTTCTGATTTTAATGCAGTATCACGGCTACGTCTGTTCAGAGTACTTCATGACCCTAGCATCAGTCCTCGCGTTTTAGAATGGTTGGTCGACTATTGATCAGATCAACCGCAGTGTGTTTACCTGAACTGCTTCTGCTCATTCATCCTTCCAAATAAGAGGGGAGCGATTTAAAGCGCTGTGTTTTCACCTGTTGTCGACAGATGAACTCCAAACCGGTCAGAATGTTTTGTGCGTGAAACACGCAGACGGTACCATTTTTGCATTGCTATAAAAACAAAATCCGACTTCATTTTCTGTGGGAACTGTTTCAAGGAACTGATCGCCCAGAAGAAAAACATCGGTCTGACCTTGAATGCAGAGAAATCAGTCGAGTATACGTTCGCCATAGGAGACCTTAGAAGAAGTGATTTGCCTGACTTGACTGAGGCTGAACTGAATTCTACTGTCATAAATTAGCACCTGCTTCAGCATTAAAATTTCTAGATGTCATGATCAAAAGTTTGCTTGGTTGGAGCGCGCATATTGGCCACATATGTGATCGAATCCGGCGTGTCTGTTTCTTATGCTTGGTGACTTTGACACCTGTCTGCAAGAAAGTCATTGGTAAATCTCTTCCTGAAGCCTTGTCTCATGTCTTTAATATCTTATCTGAGCCTGATTTCTTTCTTGGGGTCCTCCAA